CCCTCGCGGTGTTGAAATGTAAGCCTCCTCCATCGGGTTGGCAACATGGATCGCTACTAATTATTGGGATATTCAATCTTCGGCTTGGTGTCCTCTGTTGGCCGTCTGTGATCCGTGCGCATTCTGTATGTTATATTCTCGCAGCTCACGTGCAATGTGCGACCTCATACAATCTACATTGCAGATCCTCGTATCTCGTCTCTGGGTTTTCCTCTGGTCATCTGTCCCTCGAAGTTGTTCTTTCTTGGCCCTTCTTTCTTTTGCCTATGGCACAAGCTCACCGTTGGCTGTGAACGAGGTTCTCGTAGAATGAAGTGGGATTCCGTTTGCCTGTGCATGCCATTTGTGTCACCCCAAGCTATTCAGCATCCACCCCCTCTCGATGGATTTCCATGAAGGTAGGCAGAGGTTGATGAGCGTGTTACCACTGCTTGGGAGGAGTGTGAGCTCTTGGACAAACATCCCCTCGTTTGTATTGTTCAATGATGATTTGCTAGAAGCACGGGATTCATGCCTTGCCGAAAACACGTCGCTACGTCGGATGTTAACAAAGGTGAGTTCCGGGATAAGACAAAAAACGAAGATGGANTTGTTTTATGATGCTTTGCTAGAAGGACGGGATTCATGCCTTGCCGAAAACAAGTCGATACGTCGGATGTTAACTAAGGTGAGCTCCAGGATAAGACCACAAACGAAGATGGATGAAAACAGCCCTGGTTTTCACACAACTTAGCGAACACGTGGTGATCGGGCTCCTCGGTCGGTTGGTGTATTTGCCCATATCCGTAGCACCGGTCACACATCCGTGTCCGGCAGCACGAGTACCCTTCTAGCGGCCATGTTCTGTGAAGGGAACCCACAAGTACCCTTCTAATGGCCGTGTTCTGTGAAAGGAACCCGCGTGGAGGCGTCGTAGGAAAGGAAAGGCTACTTTGGGCATCCATGACACGGTGACCTGGTAGCTTATGACGAGAAACCCAAGCTACCATTGTTCCTGCTTTGAATGCAGTCCGTTTTGACTCCGTCCGCGTTTTGCTTCTTCTATCATGGCCCTTCTATCATTGTCTTTGTGTCCACTACTCCTCGCAAATATTCTCAATGCTTCTCTTGTGAGCTAGCTCTCTATTCCTTCTGGCAGGGCAGGGTTCTCTTCCAGGTCGTCTCTTC